TCTCCAGTACAGCTCTCGATACTGGAATATACTGTACTGGCAGCACGGCTCTCGGTACTGTACTGTACTGGACGTTTTAGTACGCAGTTAAATACTGGAATAAAAATACTGTACTGTACTAAACCTGCCCGTGATTTTAAAATACATACCGTTCGAAAGCTACGGACCAGGGCTTTCGAATGAACCTACTTTTAGCTTTCACAGACATGTTGGTGACGAGTTATGTTCAATATACCGTTTCGCCGAAAACGCGGCGGAACTAGTAAATCTCGAATTCCCGGGACCCCACCACCAGTCTTTCGCTAGATTTTGGCATTTAGCAACTGACATACGGTTTAATGTGAAGGCAACAACAACAACAACAACTACAACAACAACACCTCTACCTCTGTGACAAAAAGTATACCATATGCTTTTGGAATCCTCAATCCTCGCCAAAAGTTGGTTCTACATCACCTGGTTCTGAACCCGGTTTTGCCGGGCTCCAGGTCGAAATCAATCAAGGACAGAGGAAGAAAATTTCAAAAAAAATATATATATGTATATATTGTTGTTGTTGTTGTTGTTGTTTCTCACATTAGCTCTATAGTCCACAAAAAATGGGGAGCCCGTGGTCTCAAAACCCGGCACATACGACGCCGCGAGAAAACAAAAAACAAAAATAGGATACAAACCACTCGGAAAAAGAAAACAAAATGATCGAAAGAAAGAAAAGAACAGGTATCGCACCTACTGTTCGAGAAAAGAGCCCTCGGACACCGATCAAAATAAAACAAAACAAAAAAAACAAAAAAAATAAATATATATGCGGCCCTGTCTCATGCTTCCCAAGTACACTGCGAGTGTAACCCCATCGAACTTGTTTGGGGACGGGCGAGTGACTGGACTCGCAAGAATTGCACGTATTCGTTGGAATGCTTGCGCAATAACGTGCCGCTAAGTTTTAGAGCAGAGAAGGATAGGCAGGCTGTTCCGGTAGTCCAGGGCTAGACTACTGCAAGAAGGCATACCAGTGTTATTTGGTTTAGGAAATTTTTTTTTTTATGCGCCGCTGGCGCGCAGAACTTATACACAAAACACGCCTCCTCCCGAAGCCTTAATCACTGGGCGTCAGTATCCAACTGGCGAGAGGCCTGACGGAGAGGTGGAAAGCTTATCTAGGAGGGGATAATCCTAGGCAAGAGCACCACGGCTGGGTGGATCAGGTACGTGGCTACTGACATTGCCAAGGTTTTCGGCGTAGCCTGTTCTGCAAGGCTAATGGTGAGGACATCGCCGAAGTGACTAGAAGTGACCTTGAAAAACGCGCCGCAGCTAGACAGTCACGGCAGTCTCGCCGCACATCACGCTGTGCTCATGACACATCATGAACGCGCTCCTTGTCCGCCTCTCTGCGAGAAGAAGAGTTCCGCAGGATAAGCATACATACGTCGACGCTTTATTGTGATAGTCGGCAGTGAAAAATGCGGCTGATATGGCCCAGTGCTTTCCACGGTACCTCATTCCACTCATAATAACTGAAATACCTTTCTTTTGGTGGAGGGAAGGTATCATGTTAACGAGTCTTTACACTACCGTGTAGTGCAACCAACCGGTACATCGAAATCTATGCGCAGGTTTGGCATACGACGCCTTCCTTAGGGATGCTTTGGGGGGTGCGCGGACTCCGGCGGGAGACGGGGCTACGGGGCATGGAGCGCGGAATCAGGACGATGCAGCTGACGGAGGGTGGGAGCCGCCCGCACAAGGCGGGGGGGGGGGAGAGAATCCCCAGGGAGGACTTACGTCAGACGTGGGAGCTCGCGCTGAGGCGGCCCGACAGGCAGGAGCAGTGGGACGGGATGAGGGGGAAACACACGATGAGGAGGGGGCGGAGGTTAGGCTTCCCAGCGAGGAAGATGGGTCGGAGTCAGGGGGTCCGACCCCACCCGCGGGAGCAGTGGGAAACGATGATGAGGAAACACCCGAGGAAGAAGGGGGAGATGTTGGGAATCCCGGCGAGGAGGGTGGATCGGAGTCACAGCGTCGCTTGGGTGAGCGGCTGCGCTTGTGCATTGTTGACGGCGCCGAGATATACATTCTACTTTGTTGATGTTGGCTACCCCTCAGGGGCCACCCAAGCACCCGCATACCACAACACTGTCGTAAGGTTTCTTCTTCATACTTGTACTTTGCATGTTTGAGCAGCTGAATCCCGCCGAATTTACCTGACTGATCATCCTTTCCAAGACAACACAGTAGTATAGTGGGGACGGGAGAGACGTCATCGCCTACTTGGTAAAATGTATTCCCGAAAAATGATACGAGGTACTACCGAGCAACTTCTCCTGGCGCATTGATCGATTTCCTAGATAACTACGACGACGTTTGGGAGGAAGGCTCGCAGGACAGCGAAGGAGACGACGATTCGCTTGACGGTATGGATGATATCGGGATCGACCTCGACGGAGACTTGCTGGTGGACGACGAGCCTTAGTTATGTGCGTTGGTATCCGACCGTCAATATAACGCCGTTAGTTTAACGGCTTGTGCCTTGCGACAATTAAATTTAGCACATATCGTAGGAGAGGCTTTCTGTGTGCCATGCGCAGAAAACACAGCCCGGTTCATCATATGCCTCCCCTCCAACAACAAAAAACGGTATATTGCACCAACAACACTTCGAAAATACAACGGGTAGCCCGCATTTTTTTTGGCGCCTTATGCGTCCCCCCCAGCATTGTCAGGGATACCATGGCATTAGCCCGGGTTTCGTTAGGCGTTTTTTCCGCAAAACAGCTTACGCGAAGATTCCCCTTCCCGACTTTTCGGTGTCTCGGTCCGATATTATTCTCGCAGGTGAATGGTGGAACCCATTGCGTGACCCACGAAGATCTACCGTAACGGAGTGCAGCTGCATTCGGCTGTTGTGTTCTCCTCGTAGAAATGAGAATTGCCACAAGTGGTTTTCGGCCATGTGGGTTTGCTACGCAGCACAATTGCGTGTGTGTGGTACAGTCGAAGTCTACACTTCGGTGTCTGCGTCTTTTTTTTTTTGTGTGTGGTGCCAGGTTCAAAACAGTCCAGTTTTTTTTTTGGGCACACATGGGTTTGTGTAGTCGAAGTCAACACTTTGGTGTGTGTGTCTTTTTTTTTGTTGTGTGTGGTGCCAGGTTCAACACAGTGCACGTCTTTTTTGTTGGGCGCACATGTATGCGTGCGTGTGTCGTACACTCGAGGTCAACACTTTGGTGCATCCTGAGTCATTTTTTTTGTTAGGAGTGGTGCCAGGTTCAAGACATGTGCACGCGGATTTTTTTGGGCGCACTTCTATGCGTGCGTGTGTTCAACACACAGTGCACGTATTTTTTTTTTCTTGGCGCACATGTATGCGTGCGTGTTTCGTACACTCGAGGTCAACACTTTGGTGCATACCGAGTCTTTTTTTTTCTAGGGTGTGGTACCAGGTTCAAGACATGTGCACGCGTTTTTTTTTTGTTGGGGGGGGGGTATACAGCAGCAGTACAGTTTTTTTTGGCAGAGAACTAAAGATGGTACGTTACAATACAACGGCGGGTGGGCTGCGACCTTTTTTTTTTCAACGCTCCATGGGCAAATTTTAACCCGATGTAGCAAACATAGTAGTTCATTTGCGGTGCATTTCCAGAACAATGTCTGCCTTGTGGGCCACGAGTCGCACACGTATAGCGCACACATAGGCATGGCCATCCATCATGTGCATGCAGGTACACAAGGAAAAACAGGGTCAGCTGCTGTGCCATGGTTCTCCAGCCCAAAATTATTTCAAACGTCGGACGTCTTTCCCCCCCCAAAAAACAACAGGGACCACCAACACGTCAGGGCGGACAGGCGGGGCGTCGGTAGTAGCCCCGGGGAAGCAAACATGCAGACTTCCATTCAACTTACCCAGCATACATATACTGCTATGCCAATAATACCATAGTGCTATGCAACTTCACACAAGCACGTCTACTCTAGAGAGCTCCGTCAGGCAACGAGAAGCAAACAGCAGGCCCGCGGCCTCCTACCCCCCCCCGCCCCGTCTCCCATATAAACCATGCCTCAGTAGAGCTACACGCTCTTCCGCGGTACGTAGCGCGCGGGAGCACCACTATCCGGTCAGGCGCGTTTTCCTTTAGCCACCGCCCTCTGGTTTTGGTGGGCTCCAGAAACGTCAACCTCAGCTTGAAGGCCACTCCCATACGACCGACCCGCATCGCCTGTTTCAAAATGGTGGTGGCGTTCTTGTAGGGTGGGCTCGTCACGACCCAGTCCGGACGCCGCGTGTCCTCGACGTACGCCTCGACAAAAGCGTCTGTGGCGGCGTCCAGGTGGGTATCGGCCACCAAGCTAAGGGGAGGGGGGCAAAAAAAAAAACGAGCGCCGGCAAAAATGCATGTGGTGAAGCATTACATTCGCCATTTGATTCGCGGCCAGGTAAACATTGCTACGTGTGTGTTTGAGCATAGCCTATGCATACGAACTTTACGCCAAAATCTCGAAATCAAACACTGAAAAAAACCGCAGTGCTTGGTGACATCGAAGTCGGTCTGAGACACACAACACACATACCACCCATTCAAGTCGTTCGTGGCGACACGGAGACCGTGTGAACTCAGGACCGTCTTCACTGCGTCTTGGGCCGAGCCACAACAATCCAGTACGCTGCCTTGCAGATCCATGTGTTCCAGAAGAGCTCGCACCTGAAAATTGCGAAAGCAAAATCGTTCGTACTTAATATTTCTTCATTTTGTTAGGTGTTACCTGGCAGAGGGAGTATGCTGGCATGCTGGCAGCATAAATATGTTTGTTTCCACCCTCCTCGCGGGCGCTCTACATATCTTTTGCCGTTGACTTGTGGGGGTGGGGTCGACTCCCTCTCTCCTGCCACGAGACTCTTCGACCAACACGGGCAGGACAGACAACGATGCACGACCACAGCATCCTCTTACTTACCATTTTCTTATGTGAGAACCAAAACAAAGGAAAAGGGAACAATGCCACTCGAGAAATAAGGAGTAAGGCGAGGGCTACCGATGCAAGGTTGAGAGATGGGACGTCCACCACTCGGTAGAATACTACACCATCAACAGCACATGGTGACGGTCGCGATCCCAGAAACTCACATACATATCTACGTAGTCACGTGGGAACGTAGAAAGGATAACTTGACCAGAAAAAATAGAACGGGGTGAAAGTTTTCACGGGGGTCAACGTTGTCGCGTCTTCCTACAATTTCAACGTTCTAGAGTTCGCCCAGATCGATGCATATGACAGGACGCATGAGTCACCTACACCGCCGCACTAAAGGTGGTGTTTCTGCGGTGTCATACCTGGGAGCCCGTCGACGGGTACCTGCCCATCGGCGACCGCTGCCCAATCACCATGGTGTGCAAAGCTCCTTTCTCTTCCCTCTGGCGCCTCCCCTTGTACCTTTGGTACAAATTAACCACACAGTCGGCGCGGCGACAGATGCACTCTCCCGCCTTGAGAGGGTCTCCTACAAGGTCGCGCTCATGAGTCCACCCTTCCCCTACCGTTGCAGACCACTCGCCCAGCTCCGCCCAGTATTCGGAGTCCACCACGTGCTGCCAATTGGTCGAGCACCCGTCGCGGCTACCGGGGCGGTCACATGCGAAGCATCGCCGAAGCTCCCCTGCCGCTGCCGGTTCTTTGCCGTGCACCACTTTGCCACACGAGGCGCGGCGCTGCCGGACCATCCTGGAAAAACCGAAAAAACCGTTGAAAATGGCGGTATATAGCTGCTGGCCGAATCGCCGGTATTGGCGTCTACAATTGGTAATCCTCGATGCTGTTTCAGCCTGAGCAAGTACAGACCCTGACCTATACGACGCACCCGCTGAGACCGCAAGATTCTCCTCGTAAGGCAAACCTGGGCCTGGTGCCGCTGCTGCACCGACTGCACCGAGATGCTCCGCGTGTTGAAGCCCTGCTGAGGCCCTCTTGCGAGGTAGCTTCGGTTTGAAGCACAGATAGCTACCGAACGCCCAAAACTTGCACCAGCACCTCAAGTGTGAGTGTGACAACAGTATACCGAGGTTCGATTATGCCTGTTGGCGACGACGAGGCTCCTACGGCTCTGTGAACACGCAGCCTGCTGTGGCATGCAGCCTGCTGCCCAGGGGGCTTTTGAGGGGGGGTCAAAAAGAAAACAGGATACCATCTGCGAGTGCCCGGCGTACCTGTTTAGCCGCCTTGACCAGTGTTACGTCGGGCCTTGTGGACCGATTCGCGTCGTTTCTTCTCCTCTACCCTTCAGCAGTGCACCTTCTAGCGGATCGTCTCTTCTGCGACACCAACCGCGCGGTGGGCGTCTCGTACTGACGGAGCAAGGACCAATAAAAAAAAAAAAAAATATAAACCAAATAACACTGCATACGGGGCCCCCAGCAACGCCTGTGGCAGGGGGGGGTCTCAGGGGCGCCGCGACATGAATTTGATTGACATTTGCACCCCTCGGATTTTCTAAAGAATAGAAAATGGGGGTCTTGGCGTCTTCAACTTCTCGCGGGAGCAGGAGAGGAAAGCGGGCATCATCTCACCGATATCTACGTTCCGAGCGGCGTTGCGAGGTTGCGAGGTGAGAGGTGTGTGCGCAGAACATCACCAAATCAAGGTATATCTGCCGATGTATGGAGGTTTCGCGGGAGTTTCGGCGGCTCCGGATTGAGCGTGTGCGACTCGCGTGCTTTTCGTCGTGTGTTCGTGGCGCCAAATGTGCTTCCTCCTCCATTCATCCTGAACCCTTTCGCAAGAGAACACGTCGACAAACAAAAAATAAAAGAGAAGGCGAGGATTGGCGCACACCAAGGCCATGGAACGAGAATGACGTTGTTGGCCCCCCGCGCGGGTTTGATCTCGCTGGATCCGAGGCCCGGCGTCGCTCTTTTCGCGCCCCCCGAACCGCACCCTGCCCATGTGTTCTCGTGCTCTTTCTGGTCCAAACAAGTTTGAGACCCACGACAGATCCCGCGCCGGTCAACCGTGACCTAACCAATTGAGAACGCGCGGGCGGGTGCTCACGAGGCCATCTCGGCTGTTGTTTCCGGGTCGTCATCCAAAACTCTCGTAGCTGGAAATGTTTGGCTACTCCCTGCATCCTCCTTCCTCTCTTTGCTGCGGCGGGGTGTTCTTCAGGCTGTTTTTTGCCCCCTTTCAGATGGCCGGAAAGTAATTTTTTTTGTTTATTGAAAAAGTTGCATTGGTTTTCTACAGGCGTCCATCGCTGCTGCCGCGGCCGCCGTGTGCTGGTCGACGACACGCGCATTTCCTTCCATTGGTAGCGCATGCTTGGGTTGGATCACGTGCCCTTGCTGTTTTCGGTGCGCGTGCGGATACATATCCAAGCTGGTCTGGGATACTTCAACATTTCGACAGCTGGTCACCATCCGACCGAACAATAAAGACGCCCAAGGATAAAGAGCACCAGCAGCAGCGCCAGCTGGAGCTGGAAGCTGGGCCGAAAAGCCCGGCAAAAAAAAAAATCTCCCGTGGTTCCGCAGAGCGCCGAGTCGATGTCCCTGTATATAATTTAGCGGCACTAGACCGGGCACCGGCACTATTCAACCGGCAGTAAATACTGCTGTAGAGCCCCCCCCACTGCTGCACACAACTTTGTTGTGTTGGTTGCATAACAGGCGATAGTTGGTGCTTTGCGCGCATGCATGAGCGTTCCCGCACAGCAATAAATACATGGGAGTACGCTCGAAGGATGTCGGTGGGGTGTTCTGGAGGCTTCCGGATCCCCGAACAGACGACATTGGAGATCACCACCATTCGATGCATACGATTTGCAAACACGTGCGCCAATTCATGCGGCAGCGTTTATACAGTCGAAAATATCACCATGTCCCAAGCTCGAAAAATTTTCGATTTTCTACGTTACACACGGATATACACAACATCGCACCACGACCGAGCTGCCACGACCGCCCAATTGAGGTCGTCGGTGCTGCCGACATCATGCGCACTCAACAGCGTGATGTCGAGGGTCGGGTGGGTAGTCGCGCGGTGACATGAAACAAGCACGATCATCACGACGCGGTCAGGTGGCTAAGCTGTAGATGGGACGAGCAATCTGAATCAGGTTGTACGTGGTCATGGTCCAATGTTGTGCATGTAAATGTAAATATGTTGAAATGAAACTCAAACCCTGTCTGGTTGCGACATTTTCACCTGTATACTCTTTGTCCCCCGCTTTCCCCCTCCCGATGTTGCGACTGGTTCAACCCCAACCCCAAGATCAGCGCATTCTCCCCAACAGCAGCCAAGAAGACCCTCTCTCTCGTCAACCTTTTGTAAGCATGACTCCCCCTGCGGCGAAGAGGAGGCGTTCGGTGGAGCACCACGAGTCCGTCAGGAACATCACGGTGGTGAAGGGAGGCCTGAGCATCATGTGTCCGTCGGTGAGCTAGATAGATACACACTCATAACGTGGAGGTCGTGCGAGTAGGGAGCGATTGTTGCTTATATGTAGCTTGACGCCGTTTCTCGTGAGAGTTGTAAGAGGAACGCAGCGATGCTGGTATGCATGGAGAGATGAATGGCAGAACGAAAGGTCTGCTGGTACGCCGCTGGCGGCGATCAGGCCGGCACTCCCCTGATATGTTTGGAAGAGATTAAGTTGCTCAAGGTTCGAAGGATACACCGTCTTCCGGTGTCTTTCGGTGTCGACTGTGCCCAACAGCGGAACCCATGTTGCTAACGTCCAATGTTGTGTCCTCGGCCCCCTCCCTTCTTTGCTGGGTTTGGTGGGTTGTTGGTTGCCATGGCTATATATTCTGTTTTTTCTCTTGGTGCAGGACGCGATGGGCATGCTCATCGGCAAGGGAGGCTCTGGCCTGCGTGAGATGCAGGAAAAGACCGGCGTGAAGGTACGTGCATACTGGCGTTGTTTGTTGTGTTTGCTTCTTGGAAAAGCATTGCATATGCATGTGAATGTACTTATTTCTTGGGCCAGGTGTTCAACGACATTGCTGTTTTTTTTCTGCATCCTTTTCTCGAGCCGGGGTATCTCACATAACCATTGCATGTTTATGTATGTGATGCCCCTTTCTTGTGCCAGGTGTCCCACAACATTGCATGTGCGTGTGCATGTACCCATTTCTCGACCCACGAATCTCACATCGCTGCACTTGTTTGTTTGCATACACCGTTTTGTTTCTGGAGCCAGGTGTCTCTCCAGGAGACCAAGTCGATCCCCGAGGGCGCCAAGGAGCGCGGGGTCGGTCTTTCGGGATCCCTGGACTGCGTGGCCAACGTCGAGAAGCTCATCTTCGAGAAGCTCAACGCTCGCAGAGTCACGAGCCTCGCACCCTCTCCCGCTGAGGTGAGAGTCGGTTGCACCACTTGTGTGTATTCGTACGTGTACAACAGCATCGACGACACTCATGGGCTTACCGATAATAGAATGTTGAGTGCACAGGTTTTTAGGGTGTGTGTTGCTTATCAGTTGTGGACGATCACTTGTCTCATTTTGGGGTCATCTGTTGTGTGTACGTGTGGGTAATGTGGGACGTGATGGCTGTTTGTTCAGGAGGAGTTCGAGATGGCCTACGAGGCGGCTAAGGCCGCGGGCATGGAGCCGAACGGGATCGCCGACGTGGGCGACATGAACGACCCCAACAAGATAACGGTCGTGCGCTGGATCATGGACAACGCACACTGCGGGTGGCTCATTGGGAAGGGCGGCAGCGGCATCCAGAATATCGAGGTGCGTGCATACGTCGGGCTGACCAATAACGGAAAGCTAAGAACGAGCGTGATGTCACCCAGAATGTGCCATTTCCACCCCCCTCTTGAGAGTGGTTGGGCTAAGGTGGTGATGGCGAGCGAATGAATGCAGCGGGGCAGTGCAGTTGTCGTCATGGTGGGGTATTTCGGGAGACTGCGGTTGTGGGCGGCGGTGGGTCGCCGTTGTTGCTATGTTGCACCACGTCTGCGTGTTCTCACCCCATGCCGGAACTGCACCTTTCGCCGCTGCCGCTGTTGACGTGTACACGCGGAACAGGCCACCTCGGGAGCGCAGGTGCGTGTTGCGACGGAGCGGAGCCTGGGCAAGGACTCCGCCGAGCGCATCGTGTACGTGAAAGGCAACAAGGCTCAGCGAGAAGCCGCGCTCGAGCTCATCCGGACCAACCCGAAGGTGTGTGGGGTGGTGATGCGGCTAAAGAAAGCCTGTCGATGTAGTTATTTCGCAGGCAACGGAGAATGAACCACGCGTAGGTTAGCTGTTCAAGTCGACAGCGGCTTGTCGAACCTCACGAAGTACAATGATACATAAAAGACACGAATGGTTTTTGTGAAGACAACAAGCTGGCTGGTGGCCTGGCCCAACCTTGAGCTTTAGGTCGTGAGAACTGTTGTGGTTTAATCTACTGCGCTGTCCCAGGGACACCTTTGCGGTAGGAAAGCCTCCCCCGAACGGGCAGCGTCTGGGACGACACATACCTTGATAGGCCAACGAAAGGAATTAGACATGGTCCTGCCCTGGCTGTGTGCAGCAGCACTCGGCGTGGCCATCATTCCAGAAGTCAACAATACTACTGCTGTTGCCACCATCCGCCTTTGTGGTGAATTCGCTTGGTAGTCATTTGTAACCTCCTGCTTGCTGCACCTCAAATAGTAATCTAGAATGCTAAAAAAATTAACGCGAAAAACAACCGCTGCTATCCGTCTGCCGCAGATCACCGGGCGTGTCGCCTCCCCCACGGAGCCGGAGGTTGCGGCCGTGCACGTGCCCTCGAAGGCCGTCGGGTTCATCCTGGGGCACCGCGGTGCGTCCATCCAGGCCCTGACGGAGAAGACGGGGGCCCAGCTTCGCGTCGCCTCCGGGAGCGAGGTCACCACCGGCGGCGGCGAGCACAGGGTGAGCGGTGGGGATGGACGGAGGGGTTGGTAGCGTGAGTGAGGCGTGTTCCGCGGAGGGGGGATGAAAGAGTTGGATACATGAAGAGGAGCGTTGGTGTATGTGAGAAAGAGAGAAGTGTGTTCCGGGAAGGGGGGAGCTGACGGAGTGAGATCGTTGTGTATGTTTTCTCTCTCGTCTTAGTGTTGGTGCTGCCCCCGCTACGTTCATTCGCTAGGTTATTTAGAATCTATATTAGCGATCACGTGTTTGTCATGAGAGCTGTCTCACACGCCTGGGGCAACGGGACAACACCGTGACCGGCAGGTGGACATCACGGGAGGCCCCAAGCAGATCGTTGCTGCCCGCCACGCCCTCCAAGATCGCGTGGCGGAGTGGAGGACGAGCAACAACCCGAACGGCGAGCCCGAGGAGCCGGAGTACACGCTTAAGGTGAGGGAGAGGGAGAGGGAGAGGTGCAGCAATATTACGATTGGTGTCGTAGTGAGATTGAGAGTTGCAGACCATGGTGTTTGTTGTGACCCCGGAGAAGGGACGATACCCGAGAATGAAACGTTTAATGACGGCAATGTAGGACGGTAGTCGAGGACACACGACGGTGGCCCGTGTGTTGCGGGGTCATTCATCCACTGAACACGACCCATGGGGCTCGCGCCATTCCTCAGGAAGTTCTGTAGGCCGATGGGGTTGTTTTCCATCAGAGCAAGGATAGCGCTTGCCCGCAGTATGAGAGTTCGTTTACCTGACGTTGACGAACAATGTGTCGCTCTTCTCTCTGTTGTTGCTTTTCGTTCTGGTTTGGTGTTGACAGGTCGCCGTGCCCCAGCCCCTGGTTGGCCACATCATTGGCAAGGGAGGAACATTCGTGAGGGAGGTCTTGTCCGTCACCAACGTGCAGGCAAGTTTTTCTCGGACGCAATCGCCTCTGCCGCTGTCACGTCGTTTTCGCTGTTGTTGGCATGCAAGATCTCTCCGTCTCTCGTCGGGAGTTGTGAACACGCTACCGCTAAGGGCATAAGTGCGGTAGTTTTGGAACAAGCCACGTCGACGTGAGTGTTTCCGTTTGTGTTCGTGTACCGATAATGTTGACCTTCGGTGCTTGAACTGTTGGTGCGCCCGCTGTCAACGTGTGCGTGGCTCGGACCAACAGGTGAAGATCCAGCAGGACACGGGGTCTCCGACACTGTGGGGCGACGCGTGCTGCGTGATGCTGTCGGGCACCTTTGGCAACGTCGTAAGGGCCCAGCGGATGATCTTGGAAAGGATTGCCAACACCAGCGACCGTCTGAAAGAGATGGTGAGTTATCTGGTCGGCTGAAGATGCATTTTGGCTATACATGTCGGTGAAACCTCTGGTGTGCGGGGAACTGCGGGCACAGTTATCTCCCCCCCCCCCCCCCCCC